CACCACCCGCGGAGGACACCGTCTCTGGGCCTCGCGGCCGCCCAGGCCTCCGCGCCCCGGGAGCCTACGAGAGCTGTCAGAACTGCAAGCGTGCAGCGCTCACCGCCGGCTGCGTCTGCGTGGTCTTCTCCTTCCTTTCCATGGTGGTGCTGCTGTTCACCGGTCTCATCTTCGTCAACCACTACGGCGGTGGCGGGGGTGGGGGACCCCCGGGCAGCGGTTCGTCCCCCGGTTCCGTCCCAGCTCCCGGAGGATCGCCCTCGCCCTCGCCCGTAGGACCCATCTGTTTGTCAGTGGCTAGCATCCTGGCACTCTTCTCGGTGGTGGTCACCTGGATCATCTGCTGGCTCAAGTATCGGCCCGAGGGGGCGGCCGCGGGCTCGGCAGCAAGTGGCGCGAGTGGCTCCAGGGCGCGGGCAGCCGCAGCTCCCGGCAGGAGAAGCGACAGGTAGAGGGGGCGACGCACCCGGCTCCCATTGCGTTGCCTGCCCTGAGAGGCCCCAGAGGACCTGGCTTCTGGTCCCAGAGGACCTCAGTGCGCTGGGGTTTCTGCTCCCCCTCCCCTTTCGTCTGTGACCATGGGCTAATGCAGAGCCTCAGTTTCCCGCCTCTCTGTCTTTCTGTTCCCTACTTCATTGGGCAAGAGGGTTACTGGTGTGTGTGGGGGGAGAGGGGGTCTCTTTTACCCAGATCTCTGCATTATGTGTCACCTCACCCTGGAGTGTGTGGCTGTCCCTTCCTAAAATCTGGGGATGTGCAGAAAGCGGATTGCCTCTAGCGCGTTGGGCTTGAATTGCCTAAAGGAAGACTGATAGCGACGTAAATGCAAATAACCTTTCTGCATCTCGAAGATCCCCGGAGGGGAGAAACTGTCCGCCTCTGCACGCAGAGGGGTGCGCGTCTGGACCTACTTAGGACTGGTCGGCCTCTGAGCTCTGCTGGGCAGGTGCTCAGCGCGCGTGCGTGTGCGTTCCAGGCCATCTCTGTTCTCCCTCAAGCTGGCCAGCACTAGTTGGTGATGCGTTGCTTTCCGCCTGGTGGCTGGAGCCGAGCCCAGAAGTCCCATCTCCTGGAGGCTTGCGGTTGTTTTCTTCACAGTGCTACTGCCAGGAAAGTCATTTTCATCTTCTGGAACCGGACTCGACTCAGGGAGCTTAAAGAACTTGACCTCCTTTCTCTCAAAACTGACTGACTGTTGCCCCCACCTGGAAGATAATGAAAGCTATTTACGCAGAGCATAAACTATAGGCTTTCCCTTTTCCTGTGACCTTCCCCCCCATTTCACTTAAAAATAATTTATTTTTGAATATATAAGTCTGGAGGTTTTGCACACTGAGATCTCTAGAAGCCGTTTTGAGCGGTGTCACGTCTCTGTTACCTCTGATTCAAATGCATTTCAGAACCAGAAGCCGAAAAATCAAGGAGTGTTAGTAATTCATTCAAGATTTTATACTGTGAAACAACTTTCAGCTCTATGAAAACATAGACTAAAGCCCAAAGATGAAACTGAAAAGTGTCTCCGACTCTAATGATTATCGAGATAATGTACATTTATCATATCTTGAGTTTGGCTTTCTGCTGTCATGGAAACCATTGAAATGTCCACACCTGATGGGGGAAAATACATATCGACCTGATTTTGAGACTAACGGGAGTGATTTGTGAGTGTGTACTTGACATGGTGTAGCTGCCTTTTCAAAAGAAAAACATGGATCTAAGTGTATTTTGTATGGAAACAAATGTTCCTTCTTTTGGAAATTGGAAAGAGATAGTTTTCATAGTTTGAAAAAAATCAGAGATGTCTCTTGGGGGTGTGTCTTTTTTCCTTGTGTATTGTGTCGTCTGCATGATGCCCTGACACCATCTTATTAACTGAACTCGAATGAAGCATTTATATCTATCACATGAACAAAGTAATTTATTTGCCGTCCATAAGTAGCGTGGCTACCGTTTAGGAACCACAATATGGTGTTGTGTTAGATGTCTATGTTGTCTGAATAAAAAATAGGAAGTGTTTGTAGAAAATCAGCCACACTGGTTTTGGTGCAATTTTATTTATGGTGGAAATGCTCCGAGCTATTTGCACAGCCTTTCTTTGCCTTGCACGCACCTTCCCAGCCAGGTCCCAGCTGCATGTTTTGAACGAGAAGCAACTCACACTTAAGAGTGGGGTTGCTTAAGATGAGCGTTTTGTGTACTTCTGGGCTTCTTTTCTTTTAAAGAAATGTTCCTATTTTTAAAAAAGATGTGTGGGGGTGCATGTATGTCTGCGCAGCACATGTCATCCTGGTGCCCATGGAGTTGTGAGAAGCCATTGGGGGTCCCTATGGGGGTTCTGGGAGTCTAAGACTGGCCCTCTGCTTCTCTAACCAGTGAGCCTCTTTCCCAATCTCTGTTTCTGAGCTTTTTAATAAGACTCCCTAAAGACTCACTGAGGACTGTTGCAATGCTTTGGAGAGAGAAGACTTTAGTTCCTGTGGGTATGACACTCCCCCCCCCCCAAAAAAAACCCTAGATTTTGATGTCACACTGCTCTTGGTTTCTGTGAGCTATGTCAAGTCCCAAATAGGAGTCACACTTCAGAGATGACTTGTGATTATTTATACTACAAACAGCTTTGCTGCCTTTATATTTGCTTAAATGTTTTATTCACCTTTCCTACCTCCAGAGTTGTCATTCTGTTTGTAATTACTGTGACCAAAATGTATCCACACATGTATATTTGTGTGGATGTGGATGTATACGCATGGCACATGCACACTAGTAACAGACCTTGGTTTTGCAGATGTGGTCGTGAGTACACACACAAAAAACAAACATGTGTTTGCTATTTCAACCCCTTCAACTGGCAGCCAATGCCTAGAGTTACTTGGGGACCAGCTTGCTTCTTACTTATAGTTTATTTATGCCCCACAGAAGTGAGCCAGCAATGTAGGATGAGGAATGTGTCTTTGAGGTGCTCCATCACAATGAGAGCCACATTTTGCCTCTTTCACGGATTACACGTGCAAATGTCTTGTGAAAACTGAGTTAAAATTGTTGAAAATAAAATAGATATCACTAGAAGATCAATACTTAGAGTTATTTTCCACCTTGGCTGGCCTTGCTTTAGTTGCTAATTTCTAACTTTGTCACCAGGAATGGAGTGGTGACAAAAACATGTGTCTGCTCCTCTTGCATTCAGATGTGTGAGCCCTCTCCCTTTCGGCAGATTCGATTTAACCATACACCTTTTGCTACTTTTATATTTATACACATCCTTTATCCATTCTTTCCTTATTTTCCTCCAGTGCAGAGATTGTAATTGCTATAGCGAATTGCATCTCCACATGTGTATATGTTGTAAATATGAAAACATATGTATTTATTTTTTTGGTTGGTTTTCGTTTTTCAAGACAGGGTTTCTCTGTAGAACAGTCCTGGCTGTTCTGGAACTTCTTTTGTGAACTAGACTGACCTCAAACTCACAGGGATACAGCTTCCCAAGTGCTGGAGTCAATGGTGTATACCACCATGCCTGACTTAGGTGTGTCTTAATTATGCACACTCGTAACAGAACTTGGATTCCATATATTTTAAGTTCTGACAGAACATCATCTTAGACAAAGCAAGAGTTTGGAAAGACATTGAAATAATATCTGAGTTGTCTAGAGGGCTTCTGGGGTAACGGGAAGCACCTTCCCATGATAATTCTCCCCTAGATATTTCTTTTTCCTTCCTTCCTTCTTTCCTTCCTTCCTTCCTTCCTTCCTTCCTTCCTTCCTTCCTTCCTTCCTTCTTTCTTCCTTTCTTTCTTTCAAGTTTTCCAAGACATGGTTTCCCTGTGTTGCCTTAACTGTCTGAGAACTTGCTGTATAGACCATGCTGGCCTCAAATTCAGAAAGATTCACCTGCCTCTGCCTCCCCAATGCTGGGATTAAAGGCGTGTAACATCATCTGGAGTCCCTTCACCATTTTAGAGGAAAGTGACTCAATCCTGGACACAGATCCATCTTAAGAGTAAGAAGGTCTGGTAAAATTCTATCTGGTCTGCCTTGCACAGGTTTCAGCACTCCACTTGTGCCTGAGTTCAAGGCTGCAGGTTCTTCTAAATTTCAAGCAAAAGCTTTTGTCCTGAGGGTAAGAAGTTGGATGCTTTCTTGGCCCCTGAAGGCTTCCTGATTTGATGAACAGGATCCTCCTCCAGAAAGTGCATTTGCACCTTCAGTCAGGAGAGGCGGTCTGAAGATTGCTTTCTCCTTATTTGGAAAGACCTTGGGAAATTTTGACCTCTTTGGACCCCAGGCTCTTCACCTGTAAAATGTGAGGGAAAGTTCTTCAGTGACCCACCTCTGCCTCAAGATATTGGCGGGAGGATTTGTACTATTAGGAGGACTAACTGTTAAAATGCCCTAGGAAACTGAAGCTTCCTGAACCCATGTTGCTGCTTAAATTCAAGAGTCTAATGTCATTTCACAGAGAGTTCTGTCGTGTCTTCTATCTGTCCCCAGAGAGTGGAACACCGTCTATCTTTCTGAAGTTTAAAATTGCTGACATAACTTTTGTTTATTTGCCCTGTTGGGTGAGGAGAGAGTACCGTAATTTGTAACCAGAATGTAAAGTCGAGAACTTTAAGAAATCTTGTTTTTCTGGTCTTCTTACAAAGCGTGTGTGAGTTCTCAGTACAAAGCAAGTGGCTAATAAATGCAGCGGTAAGCTGGCAGAAGGAAAACTCTGAAATAAATGTTGGACAGCTTGGCTCCTGACTAATTCTGCCAGTCAGTAACTCCCTCCTGAGATCCGAGGGCCAAAGGTGAGAGGGAGGGGAGAGAGAGAAGGGAGGGGGCTTTCTCTGCTTCAGAAGGATTTTTTTGGGGGGATGGAAAAACTAAGGGCCAAGGATTAGCACAGTTAGTGCAAAGAAGGCATAGGTCTAATTCCCAGCATGCCTAAAACTGAGCATGGTGGCACATGGTGCCCTCCTGTGATGCCAGCCCTGGGGAGGTGGAGGCAGAAAGATCCGGAGTTCAAGTCATCCTCAGCTCTTATGCAACCCAGGCTACGTGAGAAGCAAAACAAATGCATAAGAAATATACTTACAAAAAGCACTTTGAGTCCTGAGGGAAAATGAGACCCTGCAGGGAAACTCACACTGCATATTCAACAACAGAACCACCCAGAGCTTTTTGGCTTTTGTTTCTAAGCATTTCTGCGTTGTGACATTAGGATGTATTTGTGAGCATGCTTGTACCGTGTGTTCCATAGCGAGTGGCATCTATAAACTTGACAGAAGGCTTCTCCACAACACCAAGAATCGATCTGTTACATTTCCCTTTACCCACTACTCCCTGTTTTATTATCAATCCTGTTCACTAACCTGCTAATTTTATAAATCTCAGTAGTTCCGCAATCTGATTACTCGGATTACCAATCGGTACTCTCTCACACATCTTAATTCCTAATTGTTAATGTCTTTTTTTTTTTGCTAATAAACAGATTGTTAATATCTTTACATTTCTGCTTTCACACAAACATGAGTAAATTCAGAGAGCGGGCAAGCATCCTTGTAGAGTGTACACCTCTTTCTTCCTTTGAAGTCGTGTTTTACTGAGAATGTTAGAGTGTGCCTTGACAGACCTACTACTTGAGCGGTCACTGTCTCACGTCTTAGATGAGTGTTAGAAGCAGCTGGAGTCGACCTTAGTTTGAAGTTATGTGGATGTATCAAGTGCAGGGATGATTGTATCTATAATTCACTAGGTCTCTTGATTGTCTGTGTAAGATAAAGTTTATAAGGATTACCTCATCACTTTTCCCTTCAATCAATTTTGATTCTGAGGTTTCAGCTCTCTTAAGCAGACCCAAAACTTGCCAAAAGAGAAGCAGTTTTGTTTCGGTGATAAATTTGCAGCCATTCCTGATCATAAGACATTTGGGGAAGTGAGTGTTTATAATCCAATCACCAAGAATATTCCTAGGAGCCTTGGAAGAATGCGCACATTTCCTTTACAAAAACAGTTGTCTTTGCATGTAAAATTGGATTATCTTTGGTTTAGAAATGCCAATTTCCAGGGGGTCCAGTGTGTGCGGGAGGGGCTGCAATGAGAAGAGAGGAGTGGAAAAGTCTTTCTACCCTATAATATTTCAAAACAAACCCCAACATAAACTTAAGAAAGTGTCTAATCTATGCGGAAAGACACTTATTTCAGCAGTCATTTCAGAAACCATGAATTGTGGTCCCCTCCGGCACCGAGTAGTCTCCATCACATATAAATGAATATTTCTTTTTGTTTGTTTGTTTTTCCGAGACAGGGCTTCTCTGTACATAAATTAATATTTCTATTGTGTGCTCGTTGACAAAATATTTTTTCAGTCGAACGCCAGAAAGGGTATTGCATCTGGCCTTACGGTTTCCGGGGGGAGGAATTACAATTTCCAGTGAGAATTATAAAGCTTTTGGCTGAAGGAAAATCTGGGAGAAGCAACCTCGGCAAGGAAAACGATTTGTCTTCAAAGGCCTATTTCTTATGAAACACACAGAGCGAATTTATTTCTGTATGGGAGTCTTCGCAGCTTCTCCGTGCAGGTTCAGAGTTACCTGGTGGCCTGCGAGAAGTGCGTGGAAGCTCCCGCCCCCAGAGGCTGCTGTTGATTGGCCAGTAACCGGAGGGGCGGCCCGGTGGTTTTTCTAAAAGGCGCCCCAGGTGATTTTCTAAGCTGCTAAAATTGGGAGCCACATATTTCACACCTTATTGAAACGCCACTGTCTCCCTAATCTCACTTTAATGAACTCGACCCTGCCACTTTTGTTTTGTACTTTGTTTTAAACAGAAATTTCTTGAAGGAGAGGGACAGTCCTTGGATTTAGTGAGTGGTTATTTACTTTAGAATCAGAAGGGGACTGTTTCACAGTTGGACCTTTGCTTTCTCTCTCTCTCTCTCTCTCTCTCTCTCTCTCTCTCTCTCTCCTTTCCTCCCTCCCTCCCACCCACACCCGTGTGTGTGTGTGTGTGTGTGTGTGTGTGTGTGTGTGTGTGTGTATGTGTGTG